TCGTTTTTGTTAATATAAAATTGTCATTTTAATCTTCGTTTAGTATTTTAAACTTCGTTTAACAAAACGCGCGGTGAAATCGACCCTAAATAAAAGTTTATAAAATTATTGCAACAAGATAGCTGTTGAGACAATAAGTTATCGAAACAGCCAAAGTACTTTTTGCTCGAATTACACACAAGATTTTTTGTACGATCACACCAAAATAAAATAAATAATTAAATTTTGTTAGAAATGGGTTACCTTTTCGTTCGTTATAATATTTTAAGTTTATTTGACAGGCCTACTCTTCGAAGAGAAAAAAATGTTTTGGTACTTATATGCCGGTAATTATTTATGATTTAATTATTTACCGAAAATACCGTTCAATGAATTAAAATATTAGGAAGTCAATTAATAGTTATTTATGTAACCAGTTACGAAATGCCTTATTTTGTGTAACGAGTAAATATTTGCGGAACGAGCGGAACGAGGTCCCGAAAAATGAACGAGTTACACAAAATGGCATTTCGTAAAGTATTTACATACAAGATTTTTTCTAATTTTGACTTGAATATTTATAAAATTGTGTTGAAAAATGACTCACCATAATTCTTCTGTAGGTACTTCCATTCAAATATTTTAGAAAATTGTTGTATTTGATTACCCTACGACGTTTTTTTTTTTCAATAGTAATAATAAAAATAAGGGACATGTGCAGTGTTGCCGATCTAATTTTTGACATTACCAGCGAGAAATTTGAAAAAAAAACATTTTTACCCTTTATCCTTAGGAGTACGTCAAAATTTTACCCCCAACATTTCTGGGCCGTTTTCAATAACGGTGTTATTTTAAAAATAAAACGCAATTTACAGCTTTTCTTTTTTGTTTTCTTTTTGTTGTTAAATGTAATGTCATATTTTCAAATGTGAAATGTCACTATTCATTGCCTTTTTTTCGATATTTGGTTTTTTCGATTTTTCGTTTTTTGGATATTTGGATTTTTCGATTTTTAGATTACTCGATTTCTCGATTTCTCGATTTCACGATTTTTCGATTTTTCGATTTTTCGATTTTTCGATTTTTCGATTTTTCGATTTTTCGATTTTTCGATTTTTCGATTTTTCGATTTTTCAACTTAAAAACCAAAGAAGAGGCAGTTTTATTTATTTTCATTTCGTAACTGGTGACATAATCAACTTTTCGTAATCAGTTGCATAATGTTCTACTTTATGCAACTGGTTGCATAAAGTAGATCGTTTTGACACTTGCTGCGATTACAAAATATATTACTTTATATGTCAAAAATGCAGAATGTAAATTAAATGGATAGATCCCATATTATTATAGAGCAGTGTTTCTCAAACTTTTTTGGCGACGGTACCTTTTTGAATAGCGAAATATTTAACGGAGCCCTAAACACATAAAGCACATAATTTAAAAAATGTATTTCAAATGTTTCTTTATTTTGACTCTCATTTTGACTTTCAATAGGTAAACATGATAAAAAAATCGGCTTTATATTATGCTCCGATTTTACATATTCAATTTTATAATTGTAATTTGACAATATTACTGCCCATCTACGTAGTCTGTTGGCTGAAAATTGGGGTATACATTTAGCTGGGTTAAAAATAGTTACCAGAGGTAAGTGATCTGTAACTAGGATAAAGAAATGTCCATATAAATATTCATTAAATTTATTTAAGCCAAAAATTATTGCAAGGACCTCTTTTTCAATTTGGGAATATTTTTGTTCGGACTTTGATAAGGTACGCGAATCAGAAGCTATAGATTTCTCAATATTTTTCTCAGAAACATGACATATCATGCCCCTTATTCCCACATTTGATGCATCTACGAATGAAAATGCACAAGATCATCATTTGTTGTTAATTTATTTTTGATTTGTTCAAAAGATTCCTTGCAAGAATTATCCCAAATCCATTTCACCCATGAAAAATAAAATTAAAAAAAGTCCTAAAGCAAAATCATATCCTCCTTCCTCTTAGTGACTTAAAAAAATTACTTCTCAAAAAAAAGTCCTCAAGCCAGGTCCCTCCATTTTGTGGCGATAGAACTGTTTTTTTTTTATTGTGATTATTTTCTTCGCGAAGCCCTCACACTTTGAGTAACACTGTTATAGAGAATTACTAAATAAATAGTTTTGAGAAAACTATTGAAACCAGTTGTCAAGTTTGAAACGAATAAATTGGCAATGAAATTGATATTTTTGTATTTGATTGTATGTTTCTCTTTTCACTTCCTAAAAAAAGATTCCCCATGAAACAAGAAATAATAAACAGTTTATAATAATAACCTTTATTTGCTACTTATAACATGTACCAATGACCAAGTCCGATTCTGTTTATTTTCAAATCAACAAATATGGACGTCGACAGAATCCTTAAAAATTAAATATCTCACCGAAATAAATGTAAGTTTCATTTATCTCAGTCACATTTCGCAGGTTTATTATAAATAAAGCTTTTTACAACACATCTTGGCATTTTCAACCTTAATTTCCAAAATTTTAGTCACTAAAATACCAAATTAATTCTCGTTGACACATTAAATTTTGATGGACAACGCTCTGACATGTGATGTTCTCAACTGCGATTGGTGGGTGTGAATCATTTCGAAATGGGATTATGCGCAGTGTCTTATGTTCCATCTAAGGTTTGTATAATCTAAGGTATAAACTTATTTTGAAAGTACGCCTATGGAATGTGACGTTATATCCCCACTTTTACAGTACTTCTTTTTTTATTCAGACTATAGTATATTCAATACATCATCTGACAGTTACAAATCATGTACAGTTGTGTAAAATTATACAATAAACAACCTCATATATAGAATCAAAAGGTTGTCAAATATTTTGTTATTTAAAGGGGATATACGTACATTTTTAATTAATTTAGAACCACACATGGTAAAGAAATATTGTTTAATGTGATCACTCTTTTCTTTGTTTATTATTTTACTATGTGTCTGTATGTATTTCCTCAAATAAATATCAAACTCTGTGGTATTTCAAATAGGTATGTTCGTTTTTTACAGAGCTGTTATTTCTAAGACACAATCGCTCTTACAAAACTGATTTTGTTCCACATTTAAAATTTTAACATGGCTCGTTTCTTGTTTTCCTTATCTGATATATTCTGATAAATGCAATGTGTACGGCTTATTTTTTTACATCAAATAGAAACATTTATTAAGTCCGATGAACAACTTTACGTTTTGTTTTTGTTCTGTTATCTCTTGCAGACTTGTGATTAATAAGATGTGGTTTATCATTTTCCTAATGAAGATCTCAACGGCGCATTGAAAGATAAAAGTAAATAGTAATGGACGATGGGATGGGCAAGCGGGCATACTTTTGAGTAATGGTATTTGTCAGGATAACTTATTACTTAAAATTAAATAATAGTACTAATATTAGACGGGATCTCCCACCAAGTTATCTTGGTCTATGCTTGTAAAAAAATGTTCATATTTAATTAACTAAAAGGATAGTTAAGAAGGAGTGTGTATAAGAAATCGTCCTACAATTTAAAACACAAGAGTTTTCATAAACTTTGTTAATAAATGTTATAATTATGTTTTAACTAATTTTATTTGTCCCCAAATAAATAAAGTTTTCAAAATTAGCACTAAGAAATAATGTAAACTATTTTTGAACCCCCAAAGTAAAAGCCAATTTAATGAAAAATTTATTAAATTCTGTCCAATGCTGGGAATCTAACCAACCCATTCTTGTTTTACGCGTACTGCTTTATACAGGGCGTTTCTTAATAACATGCTAAATTTTAAGGGGGTGATTCTTCGAGCTATTTTAAGAAAAAAACTTTACATGAAAGTATGTCCCAAACGTCTTAACTTTTAAGATACAGGGTATTAAAGTTTTTTTATTGTCATCATACCACTTTAAATATTTTTATGAAATTTAGTACGGCGTTTATGCATCAAAGAGCATTTTTTGACCTGAAAACCATTTTTTTATTTCCAACAGTGGCGTCCGAACTGGTACTGGTACCCAACTGCTTTCTCTTAAACTAAAAATTATTTTTGGAGTCCCCGTTCAATTTGTTCGTTATTATGAAATTAGGGAGAAATAAGAATTAAAAACGATCTAGTAGTAATAAGTAACAGTAATAAGTAGATTTTGTTTTGCAAACATAAACACTTTTGACAGTTGTCTACCTCGTCTAGTTGTCACGTATTTAAATCATTAATTTTAACAATATTTAAAAAACATGGTTGTGCATACGAATTCTGAGTTTACAGACATGCATTACATGTACGGGCTTGCTGATGGTAACCACTGGAAGCCAGGCGGTTGTATGGAGATCGCTTTCCAAATATTCCGGATGCATAAACATTTTCAACAAGTCATAGAAGATTATGCGAAAAGGAAAGTTTTAACCCAGACGATCATCTAAAGGGAGCACAGCTATAAAAACTCCAGAAATTGAGGTAGCGGTTTTGAATTCAGTTGAGGAAGATCCAATGGCGTGCGGTGACATTTTTGGAAGGAGAAGCGATTATATAAAAATACAGCAGGCCAGTAAGCACAGCGCCGCAGGTGAAAATTTTTCGCGGCCATTCACCATTTTGTCAAATTCTCAGTAAACGAAAATTACATGTTTAAACTTCTCTTTCACTTTAGCTTGAAGGCCTCCTAAATGGCCAGCCATTACGGCAGCATCATCGTAGCTCTGGGCAACAAGCTTAAAACCACATTCTATCTAAACTTGAAATAATGTCACAAACAATTTTAAACAATGCATTTGCAGTTTGTTCGCTAGTGACGTCCAAAAATCCTAAGAATCGCTCTTAAGAAATGCCATCCAATACATATCGCACAACAATGGATAATTGACTTAAGTTTGCTACATCTGTGGTTTCATCAAGCGCAATTGATACGAAATGTGCTTTTTTAATTTCACTTTTAATGTGGTCCATCAGAACGTCGGCAGTGCAATTAATTAAATCATTTTGGATTCTGTTTGAGGTACCTCGGAAAGTCGTCGAATCAATAAAGTGATGTTTTAGGGTATCATCGTATTTTGCTAAAAAATGTAGAAGGTCCATGTAATCTCCTCGATTGGCGGATCTACTTGCTTCATTGTGACCCCTAAAACTTAGTTCATGCTCTCCCAGGAAACAAGTTACATCTATTAATCGTTGTAAGACGTCCCTATTTTTTTACCCTTTCATTGTGAATTATGTTGCTTATTTTTAAATGATTGTCCAAACTATGTTCAATGCGATAGGTTTTTTTCTTTAATCGTAGTACTTACATGAGATTTTCTATTTACATGTCGTTTTACACTTTTGTGAAAGTTATTCAAGTCTGTAATACCGACTGAGTTCCAATGAGTTTTTTCGGCTATATTAAAAAGTAGGCAAGGCCAGCAAAACAATTTCTTCAAAGTTTTGCAGCCGGTTAACCATTCATACTTTTCATAGAATCCTAAGTGAAAATGCCTGGTACATTTCTTTGCTGACTTTTCTACTTTGGTCTCTAAATTGATAGGATCCTTTAGTCTACTAGAATTAATAATGTCCGTTTTCTCTTCAAAATTTCTACTTGAACATCCTTTTTTCAATAAAGAGCACACAATACAGACACACTTTACTACATTATTATTGTTCACAGACACAGTGCATAGTTCCTCTATTTTATAAAAAGAAAAACAAACCGAAATCTATCTGAAGTCTACGATTTTCCTCGCACGTCGATTCTCGGTGCGAATTGCAATATGCGTAAGGTGACGTAAAAATCGTTGCCTCTCGACCGTATTTCACGTGTACAAATAATAGACTGACTATTGTCGTGGCAAAGCAGGGTCAATAACACGAAGCCAAATCAATTGGAAGATGAGCCGGCTTTTTCAAGACGCGTTTCCGCCGACGGACTTGAAGTATATGGTGTGTGCGTTTACACAATTAATTTTCTTATGGGTGGTGCGTGCGTTTACACATTACACCAATGAATTGTTAGTATATTTACGAAGTTTACGTAATGTTTCAGAGAAAATATAGTACCTAATTTAATATTAATTTCTATGCATTGTAAACTGAAAAATATTTATTTTTAAATCTCAAAGTTTAGTGAAGCGGTGCTTTCCCCGCTTCCATGGACCGCACGCCCCTGGGAAGATCCAGCATTAAGTACACGAAAAATTGAGAAAAATTTTAATATCTTACACAATTGACACTGAAATTTTATTCACCGACGAAGCCAACTTTTCCAAAAACGCCATCCAAAACTTCTATAATAATCACATTGCTATAAACATATGTGAAACAAGAACTAATTGGCTTTATTCAGCAAAAACTACACATAAATGATGACAACTGACAAATATAAATAACATATATAGGGTAATACAATTAATAAAGTTATACAAGGGGAACTCATATTTTCACATCATTCTCCCCCTCTTCAGAATCTTTCATATTCTTCGAGGTATTTAGGAGGTTTTCTGTTTCTAGCTGGGCGACTTTCTTCAGATGGTAAAATACTCCTAGAGATAGATTTAGAAATTTGGTTTTCTAAAGAAGTAGGGACCGTTTCACTCAATTCAACAAAGTAGCCGATGGAGAATTCAAGTTTTCAAGGGATGTAGCACTAAAGTGAGAGTTAACGGAACATTAGTAGAAGAAGGGAACAAACAACTATCATCTTCAATTTATTCAAGTGAACTATTCTCAATAATATTCCCTCTTGGTGCTAAATGACGATTTGAGACCGGTATTTCTTTTCCATCGGACATTCTTACATACGAAAATTCAGGATTACTTTTTCCACAATCGGTTCATACTTGGATTTACGAACTTGCTTCTTTTATAGTATAGGGCCAGTATCAGCTAACCATGAGTGAAGAGATTGTCCATTAACTAAACGTCTACTTTGTTTGAATATTGACGTTTATTGTGGTGCATAACAAAGACCTAATTGAATGAAGAGCTTCAGTTAACACACATTCCCACTCAGAAATTTTTAAATTTTTGGATTTTAACCATCACTGTACCGTCTTTCATATTGTACCATTTTCCCTTTCAATTTGGACGTTGCCTCTGGGATTATATGGGGTAGAGTGACTCGAGGAAATTCCTCTTGAAGTTAGAAAATCCTTAAATTCTTTACAAGTAAAACAACTTCCATTGTCGGTATGAATTAATATGTTATAATTAATAATAATGTTATGAGTAATTAAATTTGCTTTCAAATAACGTGTCACTTTATAATACGTATAGTTTTTTATTCCAATAGAGGGCGATACAATACAAGTATCGCAATGAACATTCATTTTTCTAAATTTCCCATAAATTTACTTTTTTAATGATGTGCTGCACATTGTAGTGTCAAACTGTATAAGACGTAATAGTTTTTATTCCGCTAGAGGGCGATAAAATTTAAGTAACGCAATGTACAGAAATATTTCTGAATCCCCCATTAAATTACCTTTTCAATGATGTGCCATACATGGTACATTACCCATTTAAAACGAAAGTGTTGGAGAAGTGCAAGGGAGGGGATTAACACATGACAGATGTCTGTATTGTAAACATGTTTTTAATTTGGAATAAAAATTGACGTGTATTAGCATTTTCTTAAAATCCAATGATTAATGCTGAAAAACAGGATGAAACTGTTTTGAGTGACCCACTCTGCATATCAGAAATGGCTAGATTTATCGAATTAGTTCATGAAACAAAATCTGCTTAAAAATGCATTTTTTACAAGATGCGCTACACAAGAAATAACCTTCCATCGAAAAAAATTATTAAGTGCAGCGCCACCTATATATTGACCTATTTAAAATTAATTTATATCTAAAACTGAAGACCTCTTAGTGCTCTGTAAACTAACTTTCACAGAATTAAAATATCTCTATTACTTACCAAAATATCCGGCCTGAGAGTTTTTATTGGTACACCCTGTATAAGATTTAGAATTCAAACTCAGTGACAAAAATTAACAATTAACAAATAGTTGTCGTAATTGGAGAAAAATTGATTTTTCTAAAAAGTACTAAGAGCTAAAACAGATTAAACTTAATGTGTTAACCAATGGCGTAGTAAACAAAAGTTTTGGGAAGGTCTAGAAGATCACAACCCCCATAAAAACTGCACTGTTTTCGTTATTTTTTTTTTTAATTTCTTACTTTAAGTAGGTCAGCCATCACATGCCTATTTTCATGACATATATTATTTTTTCTACGCCCATGTCAGTAAACGTTAAAAGTTGCACTCTTAACATTCATTGTAAATGACATTTAACAATAATATTCACGTAATGAGATCTCATAACATACACGTGTGTTTTGATAAGAAAACTTAAATTTCTTACTTTAATCAAATTGCAATCAAATTTTTATCTACGTATGACTTTATTTGGTCTATTTACATACATTTATTCAATTGAAAAACAAAAACTTTTAGCATTAGCGAGATATATTTCGGATTAAAAAGGTGATGCCCCTAAATGTTGGCAACACATTATACAATTTTTCAAAAAATAGGTCGCTATGGAAATAAACGTCGTCATTTATATTGTCAATTTTTGTAACAAAATATTATTATATTCGAACATTTTTTCAACTTTACCTACGAATATGTCTCTTAGTAGTGAAAGTGATGAAATTATGACTCCTCTGGAGATTTTAGAAAATGCCACACATAATTTGTTACCGCTAAAGTCCAAAGAAAGGTTTGAAACTACCTATCGAAAATATACGGATTAGCGACACAAGCAAGGACATATTATGTCCTTTATTTAATAAAAGAAAATAACTATGCGTAGAAAAAGTATGGTACGTTACACGAGTTGTAAGCCCATTACACACTCGTGAAACTTTTTCACTTCGTACGGAATGGATTACTTACAACTCTTGTTACATAATTTACATAAGTTTCCTAGTATTTAACTTGTAACTTTAAAAGGTTATAACTTTTTATCTATGCTCTTTTGTTTGTAAGTTAGATCCAACCGACTCATTTTTGATTACAAAACATTTGGTAAAATTTATGACCTATTTTTTTTGTCACTTGCTACTAAAATTATTACATTCCAAATTTTTTTCTCAAATCTCCCTCTACGCCTCTTATAATTTCCAATTTCTTTTCTTTCGCACGCCTGCACTTAATAACGTTCAACTTTTTGTCGTTTTTTATTAGACGAATTAAGAGTTTTTCTTTAATAGCCCCATTTCAATATGCCGAGCCGTTTAAGACCCTCAAAACCAATCTAAATTCATAAGCACACCTTTAGGTTATGTTTATGCTCATTTTCGTGATACTTTTCTGTCTTAATTTTATTTTTATGGGCTAAGACATCATCCGAATTTAATAAACCTAGCTACCTTGTGGTTTTTTCTTCGATTTTTAAAACCATTTGTCGTCAAATATAGTCATATTGTTATGTAATTCATTGACGTTCGGTTCTTTTCTAAGTAGTTATTAAAGGGATTTAAAACTAATAAAGAATATATACCGTGAGCATCATAAGTCTTACCCCCCCTAACTAACTCGTTACTGGAGTCTTGTTAGGAAAATCGCCGAGACACGTCGATTTTTGATTTCTACAATGTACATTTTCGTATAAATATTTTACCCTTAATTTTATCCCTTACTGGAGGGAGCAACCCTTTCGAAAAATTTAAATGGCATGGGGTGGTGAGTGATAACTCATTTAAAAGGGGGTTTTATTCTGCAAATTTTGAAATTTTTTGTTTACGGATTATTGTTTATTCATATGTCTACTTAGTACCCAAATTTTTTTATTCCTTAATATTAATATTTAATCAGTTAAAATAATTTTTTTAGTTCATGTGTCAGAATGGGGCGATGCGCGCGGCAACCGAACCACGCGTTTTTACCGTTATTTTCGCCGCTTAATTAAAATTATAAGGGTTGTTGGTACAGTTCCGGGAGGTAGGACTTTTTTTTAGGAAATTTCCTGCTCTTTAAGGATCTTTTTTCAAATTTCGATTATCTCAAATAGTTTTTGAAATATTTCAAAAAAACCAAACCCTTATTTTTTATTTTACTTTATTGTTTATAACTTTTGCATTTTTTTTCAGCCCCTCTTGGAATTTTGATAGAATGTTCTAGATGCCATTCCGA